TGAAGATTTATTAAATACCACTTTATGATCAAATAGATACTCGTGAAAATAAAAACTAAAGATTAAATATCGAGCAAATATTTAAATAGTACTGCAAAATAAAATAATTGCTCTTCAGACATAGTATATTAATGACCTAACAAGGATTTAAATAGCTACCGAATTTAATTGAATAGATCTGCAAATCTTTAAATACTGCTAGGGATATAGTTGGCAATCAACGAAATATATTTATTGTAAACAAATAGTTGTCAGATTTCTTGAGTAGCAAACAAACCGTTGTATAGGTAAACAGGTACATTAAATAGTGCTGGAGATTAATTAGCTACTGTAAAAATAAACTCAGAGTAAACAAATAGCTGACGAGCTTTTCAATAGCTAAGAAATATATTGATTAGTATATTATCATATAAATACCTCCCTATCTATTTATTCGAATTCTATATATAGACAAACAAAATAAAAAAATAGATAGAATAATATAACGAAAAAATAACTTCAGTACTAAACTCATTTACCAATTGAATAATATCCTTGTAACATTCGGTAGACTAGTTCACAGATATTTAAAAAAACTCAACAATATTTCTTTCAAAGAAAAAAAAATTTTCCTTCACTGAGACTTCTAAAATTAATCAATTTTCTAAACATTAAAAAACAAACATCTACCGCAACTCTTTTTTTTATAACAAGATAAAAGAAAATAATATTGTCCCAATGTCCCGACGATGGAAAATAAACATCTTTTATATAATTTTTTTTTCTCAGTAAGATAAAAGCAAATATTATTGTCGCAATGTCCTGAGATTCAAAAAATTTATTCATATAAATTATTTTATTACAACATTTATGCTATAGTAGAGAATTCCAATCTCAAATAAATTCTAAACTCATCTACGACATAAACATTCAAATAAACCAATTCTCAAAACTAATTTTCTACCAGCGATGTAAGTTTTGGATTATTATACGAGATGTCACACAATCGGAGATCATATTATGATGGAAAGTCTTAACACATCGAATTTTCTTGATCGACTTGCCACCTAAGCTAAGATGTGGGTGCGACTGTGAGCTGTATATCCATCACAGATCCACACCTACTCTCAAAGATAGTACGATCACCTAGATGGATAACAACCAAGAGAGAAGGGGAGAAGAGAGATCATGAACGCAAAGATTTTTCGCTCACCGCCAGTGAACAATTGTCAGATTATACCTCATTATGTAAGATTATAATCAAATTTCTGTGCAACAAAATCAGAATTATAATCAATTGAAATCTTTCAAATCAACAATAACTCGATTTTTAATCAAAAAAATCTTCTAAATCAAATATAACTTTGAGTAAAACCATACAAATTTTATTTACTATATTTGTAATCAGAACTACATGATTTTAATCAAAATTATATTTGATTCAGAAGAATTTTTTTGATTAAAAATCGAATTATTGCTGATTTGAAAGATTCCAATCGATTATAATCTTACATAATGAGGTATAATCTGACAATTTTTCACTGGGCCCCGAACTATGTTCAGAAGAGATGTAAGTAGAGAAAAGAAGAGATAATATAGATGGAGTAGGTCTACAATCTAACCCGAGAGAAGATCGTAACAGACATAAAGCGAAATTTTCAAAAAGATTTTCGATTTGACTATGTTTAATAAAATAAATATCAAGGTAGAATATTTCAAAAATTTAAAAAGATCTTTATATTCTATTTTCTTTCTGTTCGTTGACAATATTTTCCTATCTATATTAGATTCTATTATACATCACATTTTCTTGCGTTCTGGACGAAAATGAAGAGAAATAGTTAAATCTCTCTCTCTAGTGTTCTATATTCATAATCAACTATATCTAAAGTCTTATAATATTATTATTTCTAAACATAAGAAAAGATGAGAGAACTAATTATCTGTTTTTAAAAGAATGACATATGATGTAAAAATCGAATTTGAAAAGATATGGTATAATTGATGTACGTCGTGTAAGAAGGCTACAGAACGAAAAATATTTCGTTTGCGTTCTTTATTTTATCTAGATGAATGACATACAGAATTCATAAGATTAAAAGCTTTCGATAGAATAATATCTTTCGTATGAATCAAATACATAACCGAAATTAGATATGGATTATATTTCTTAAATTGCGATTAAATAAGTCATTGACTAGTCAATATGAATATGTTAAAAAAGTGACTTTGAGATATCCAGTTAGAATAATAGATGACTCATTCATTTGTGGGTTCAAAGCTGATTTGTCTTTTTCTTTTTCCATCTATTTAGTAATGCGATTGTGATAAAGAAAAGAAATCAATTGCTTATTTTGTAAGATATGTTAGTTCATTCTGATTTCAATTGATCTTCTTTATTTAAACCCTCTGCTGTAATAAAAGACCCCTTTAAAAGTTTGTACTACAAAATATAATAGTAGACCAGGGGGTCTTTTATTACAGCAGGTGGTTTACTTTATTTCTAATAGAAATGAATGAATTTATTCTTAAAATTCTTTTAGATTTATAACTCTATTACGAAAAAATGAGTTGGATTCGATCTAATCGATTCGTGATGATGTTTTACAAAAAAATTGTTATGTTTGGTTGTGGTGTAGCTCTTCTATTATTTATAAATATTTCATTAAAAGCAGGAAGAGATGTTGAACCGATGAATCGTAGATTTGTTATTTGGAGTAATGATTTTCATATAAGGTATGAGAAAGTTTTCCCATTTAAGATTATTTCTATTAAATATATATTATTTAATTCTAGTCCAATAAATGATATTAAACATCAACTTAGAACATTTAATATTGAATTTATAGACAAAAGTTTATCAGGTGCTTGTAAATCTACTAATTCATGTGCAAAAGATTTGAAAATATTAAATCGAGCAAATGGAATGTCTCCTAGTATTGATGAACGAAAACAATTTTATAAAGTTTATAAAAATGATTCAGAAATGAACAGAGTCGATATTTTTATGTGTTTTCATCCTGCAGGAATGTGTGAATTATTTATGCCGTTTAATCGAACAATAATTGTCATTGCTTCAACTCGATATGAATTAGGAAGACATAAAAAACAACAATGGATAGATCTGAATAATAATCTTAAAATTATTGCTTCGAATCCTCGGTAAATATTTATATAATCAATATATTTCATAAGATTATTAAAATAAGCAAACAAAGTTCATGAAAATGAGTAAAAAAAGAATATTCATTTGAAGTAGTTTTTTCAAAACATATTATGATCATAGTAGTCGATGACTATAAAGTTAAATATGAATACGTAAATTATAAAAAGTATTTATTTGAAATGAATTTATTTTATTTTTTTAGAAATATCATAGCTGGAAATAATTTATATGATGCTGAATATATTCGATATTTTACTGGAATAAAAGCCATTGTTTTACCATCAATATGTGCTTATACAAATGCGACATATTCAAGAGTAGAAGGAAAACCTTTTCTTATTGCACCGATACATAACAAAATCGTTCACGCTTCATTTCGATCAGATTTAATAAATTCGTCCAGAAGTTTGAATATATCAATAGAAGTACAACATTTACGAGATGTATATAAAACTTATTCATATGAACAACTTAGTGAACATCCTGGAATAATTTATGTTCCATATCAAGTATCTTTAATGAGTTTATTTGAACAATATAGAATGAATATTCCATTATTTTTTCCATCAATTGATCTTTTAACTGAATGGCATTATAATTATCATGTTGTTGAAGAGCGAACTTGGGATCGAGTATTTCATCAACCTAAAAATTCTTCAATTATATCAGGTGTTTTAAATTCTAATATTCCTGATCCAAACAATGAATTTGATCGAAATGCAATTCGATATTGGTTACAATTTTCAGATTTTTATCAGTGGCCGCATATTATCTATTACAATTCTATGGATGATCTTGTCAAAAAATTAATTAATACAAATCTGGATCAAGTTAGTCAAAATATGAGAACATATAACAAAAATTTAATAAAAACTGTATTGAAACAATGGCATGATATACTTGAAAGAACTAAATAAATATACATGTTAAATATTATTTTTATCAGAAAAAAACTCTAAGATATACTATTAATACAGGGGAGTTATCAAATGCGTTTTTATAATCATTGTTTTAATTCTTTCACTTCCGACTTTTTCTATGAAATATTTCGATGGAAATCAAAGGGCTAATATAACCTTTATTTTAGATAGTTTGCACAGATTCTTCGACATGTTGTAACAATTACAATATCGTCTATTCTTCGATGATAAAAATCATAAGTTGTGTATACTTTTAATATATTGTTTGTTGAAATTAATCGAAAAATTGCAATGAAATTCCTATTAAATGTTAATTTATGATGTAATTGTGAACCAGATTGTGTTCTTCTGTTTGCTAAGAAGGACGATAATGAAATCTGAGGGTGTGCGCGTGCGTTTGTTTCTCACTCACACCCTAATTTTCTTATTTTGAGTTATTTATAACTTTGGATAAAAGTCTTTCCTCCTCATTGTTTCTATAGTATCATACTTTCAATTAAATTTATGACCAAGTAAAAATACGACTTAAATCTTTTATGTTATATCTTTATTCGGTAATAAATTTGATGCAACGTATGATAGTATAGAGACAACGAAGGTGAAAAACTTTTTCCCAAGCATGTAGTCATATAGAATACAAATCTCACCAGCCTAGTCTTACGCACATTTTTATTACAAAAAAAATTGTTTTGATTCGTTTGTCTAAGAGAGATCTTTTTAAAATATGATAGGATCTTGTAATGCGTCGACGACTTTAAGAGAGAAGTTACCCACACTCACTATTAATGTAAAGTTTAATACAAGTGATAAACGAATGTCTCTAGTTTGATCAGTTCGTTACATAACAAATCCTGAATAATATTGCATGAAATGAATAATAACGTTATTTTTTGTGTCTTTTATTATTTTATAAGAAAAAATATTAACTGATACATTCAAGAATCTTTATGTGATTTATCATCTGTAGTCGGTGCTAACAAAATCGGAAGTAATTCACCAGAAGGACCTTCGAAATGAAACCTACAAAGAGACATTTAAAATACGGCAGAATTTAAAAAAAAAGAACTCACGTTGAAACAGATGTAGATGGAGTTGATTCAATATTGATTTCAGCTACGGGAACGCCACGTCTTGCAATCCATGAAGCATATGCCGCAGCAGGATAAACAACAGCTGATGTTCCAATCTTGAATTAATCTTATAGAGATAAGTCAAAAAGAAAGAAAAACAAACATACAACTAAGAAAAGATCACATTTTGCGATTTCTTCATCGATTTTTTTTACAATATCACGATCAAGTGCTTCACCAAACCAAACAACATTAGGACGAACAAGAGATTGACATTGACGACAACTAGGAAGATCTTTTATTGGAATTTCAGCACCAGCCTGATCTGGTGATCTAATATATTGTGTAGTAATCAGCAGTTAATATAATAAAATTATGATAAATATATATATATATACATACCCTCGATTTCGTAAAGCTTCACAAATCGGACTATCATAATTATCTTCCGTAAAACCACATGAGGTACATCGAGTTGTAAAAAGACGACCTATTGAAAGTTACTTTCATGAAAACAAAAATCAATTACTTAAATATTAATTTACCATGCATTTCAATCAAATTTTGAGAACCTGCTTGTCGATGGAGTCCTAATTAAAAAAGAAATCCGTATTATACTATTACTCTAAAAGTAACTGACCATCAATATTCTGAGTAACGAGAACAAATCGTTTTCCTTCGCTTTCAAAACGTTTTTCAGCTTCGGCCAATGCAAAATGACCCTAAAATGAAATCTATTTCACATATGATTATATTTCTAATCTAAAAACCTTATTGGGTTCTTTAGTTCGCATAAGTTCTCGTCTATACTGATAGAATTCCCAAACAAGTGATGGTGATCGTTTAAAAGCTTCTGGCGTAGCCAAATCCTAATAATTCAAATTTTTGCATAGAATAAATTGTTTTAAAATAAAACTGAAAACAAACTGTAGCTTGATATGTTCGCCAAAAACCACCACTTCCTCGAAATGTTGGAACACCAGATTCAGCAGATATTCCTGCACCTGTTAAAACCAACACTGAACGTGCCTTAGCAAATAATTCACGAAATTCGGTAAATTCTGGACCTGTCTATTAAGAAAAAATTAGATATTTATCAATTAAATTTCAATATTTTATACCATAGAAGTCATTTTTCAGTTTAATCAGTCTGTCTCAGAGAGAATCGACAACGCTATTTATATGTCAAATATGACAAACAACTGAAATATTGGAGAAATACCATGAATCATTGCATCATAGACGATGTGTACAGCGATGGAGGAAACCAAGATGACGTAATGGACAGGTATTGCGAAACAGAATGAAAGAAAAACGAAATACATAGTTAACCGTAGGGGTTCTTTTGTACGTAGTACATCATAGCCTTGTTTTTAATTTTGTAGCAAATATTCGTCTGATTACTTTGAGAAAATTTGTGTTTTTTTTACAGTAGTGAAGTTTAATAACTATTTTGAGTGTTTATTATTATGTTTGAACTTAATACAGTTTGTTTAACAGACAGTTCTTTGTTTTTTCATTAGAGATCCATTAATTTCATTTTATTAATCGTTATTTTCTTCCAGTGATGAAAGATGTTGTTGACATAGTATAATTGATCAATGAAGTGCAAGAAAATTGGTTTTTTTTTATCCGAGAAAGTTGATGTATGTACACAACCTTCGATGTGTCATTGATGATTTTTTTTTCTATTCATCTAAAATAGGTAAAGTAAATATTCTTGTTAAAAATAATAATACGCAAACTTTCCGTGAAAAATATTCCCACTTAATTGTGTGAATCACATTCACAAAAATTTCAAAAGGATGATTCATATGGAGGTATATATTTTTATGATAATTTCGAATGCAAATACAATCTCATTGTTACAGCAAAAAACGAGGAAAAATGCAGCGTGAGCTTGTGCGTTGAAAGACATTGAATGAGACTTATGAAATGGATTGATAGTTACGTTCTACAACCTTTCATATATGCATCTTATGAAAAATTTAAGGATGGATCAATTTATGTTTTTATACATCCTAGTTCTTTAATTAAAATGAATCTGATAGATTTACGGAACAAATGTATAAATACACAAACTATTTTTCAAGTTATTTGTCCCTCGATATGCTCACAGTTCTAGTTTAAATCAAGATTATCATTATTGTATTATTTCAAAAGAAGGATTCTTTAATAATTTACTTCAGTAATATATAAATTATACAATAACTGAAGAGAATGTTATTAGATATACTATATATTTTAGTGTGTTTAAAATCTGCGCGACGATTTCAGCACAGAATTATATACACGGACCAGAAATTAATAATTGAAGAGTATTCTTCTAATTATGAATGGATATAACAAAGAGATATATAACATTAAAATCTTTTGACATTTTTTTTACACAATAATTTTTGAAAAGGAATCAACAAGCAAGAATGATATTCAACTCGGCAAATTTAGCAAAGATGTTAAAATGGATTATTACAAGTTGATACAGCTCAATTAATATGCGAGAGTCTCTATAACAACATTAATTAGTAAGAATTTTCACTTTATTTTTAACAAAAGTATTCTTCTTTGCACTGTAATGACAATGTTGTAAATAAAGTTATGCATGAATAAATACGAGATACTCACTCTCATTCTATTCACCTGTGCTTCGAATAATGAAGCAAAGATCAAAACTTTGTCTCTCACCTATAGAAATATAAAGGATATATATATATTCATCATGGTCACGGTCATTCTCTCTTTCGATCTTCTTTTATTCTGTCAATACGATTATTTTAACCTTCTATACATATAATGTTATATTATATCTGGTATTCATATAACTAGAATGATATTACTGTTAATATTTATATCGATTAATGTTGATAAGTTAGACTATTTGAGTATCTTTCATTTTTTTCTCGAAATTATTAATGAATATATTCATCTATTATAGAATAAAATATATATAAATTATCGTGATTACTAGAGACAATGATTATATATTTATTTAGATCGTTTATTGTCAATATATAAAATCGAAATACAACGATGACTCGTCTTCTTATAGTAACAACATTTGTTTTATTTAATCTTGTTCATCTATCGATGAATCAGACAACGAATACAACTCTAACATGTTCATCAGGTGAAAATCGATGTGGTTCAAAATGTAATTCGGGGTTTGTTTGTCATAAAGAAAAAAGTTAACGTGGTAACAAATGTTTTAATTCATCAATACAAAAATGTATTTGAGGTCTAATCTGTCTTAAATCAGAAATTTGGTGTAATAATAAATGTCTTAATGCAACTACACGACAATGTCGAAAAAAAAAGTTAATCGATATTATTATGAATTAGATTTGAAATATTTCTATTCAATAAACAATTTACTTTTTAATAAGAAAAATAAATATAGATGTGTTGATAACTATCCAAAAATTGTGTTTATTTCTAATATTATTTGTACAACAATAATAAAAGTATTTTAATTGATAAAAGATTAATTATTGTTTATCAGTGATTATATCGAACAATGACAAATAGAAATTTCTTTGTTAAATTCTCCATTTTTTATTCTTAAATATATATATTTATTAATTTTACCTTTTTTATTTTCAAAACTGAGAAAAATATAGTAATAAATGTTTCTAATTATTATAACTAGTTATGATAAAAATGAATAGAAACTTAAATATTATAGAAATCATATCAATCAGTAGTTTCAAATAAATAAATGATAAACTTTAGTTTTTGTTAAGTTTCTCAAAAATAAAATCTAAATTTGTGAAAAAAGGATGAAATATTCATAAATTATTAATTATTAATTGAACTAAACAAATGATAATTTTCATTTTATTTATTAAATTATTTTCATATCCACCGATTAATTAAAATGCTTGACTAATACAATTACCTTGATTATTAATATTTTTCTTTTTAATCAGTAATAAAAATAATTCTAACTGATTCAAGTCTTTTTTTCCTTCTAATATAAAACATTTGAAATAATTATTTTTCTATTGCTATTATTTTGACGAATCTATCACGGTAACTTGTGGGTGTACTTAATGAGATGAACCGTATACCCACACACACAGCTTCAAGATGGGCTATTTCTAGAGAATGAATACGATTTCGATCAAAAACCGTACTGGCTCCCCCATTCGACATGTCATCTATTAATTTTGAGACCATTTTTACTGGAAAAAATCCTTTCAGTCAGCTAGTGCTATAATTTATCATCATAGCAGGCCCTGCCAATTACGCTTAGGAGCTACATGACATTTTTTTTACTATTTCTCTTGCTGTTATATATAAATGTAAGGCAGTTGATATCATCTTTGATCGACTGTTTTAAGACTTTAATATTATTTGTAAATTGTCTTTGTTATATCGAAATAATTGTGTACAAATTGATTCTTTTTATCTAGTTACAGAAGGAATATAGGCAACATAGTTAATAAATAAAAATGATTGTAACAAAAAAGTCACTTGATTATGATTATTTATTTGATTGTCTAACTACTTTAATTCTTATAAAAAATACTTTCAATTACCTATGATTATGTAAGACACTTATTTCATTACAGTAAAATAGAATAATACTAATTCAAATTCAAACTCAACATCTCGATTACTTCTGTTTGTTTATCTTCGTCGCTTAATTCT